TGTCTCTCCATCCTGGACCTGGGTGGCCTGGACTCGGGGCTGACTTGCTGTCTCTCCATCCTGGACCTGGGTGGCCTGGACTCGGGGCTGTCTTGTGTCTCTCCATCCTGGACCTGGGTGGCCTGGACTCGGGGCTGTCTTGCTGTCTCTCCATCCTGGACATGGGTGGCCTGGACTTGGGGCTGTTTTGCTGTCGCTCCATCCTGGACCTGGGTGGCCTGGACTCGGGGCTGTCTTGCTGTCTCTCCATCCTGGACCTGGGTAGCGTGGACTCGGGGTTGACTTGCTGTCTCTCCATCCTGGACCTGGGTGGCCTGGACTCGGGGCTGTCTTGTGTCGCTCCATCCTGGACCTGGGTGGCCTGGACTCGGGGCTGTCTGTGTCGCTCCATCCTGGACCTGGGTGGCCTGGACTCGGGGCTGTCTGTGTCTGTCCATCCTGGACCTGGGTGGCCTGGACTCGGGGCCGTCTTGCTGTCTCTCCATCCTGGACCTGGGTGGCCTGGACTTGGGGCTGTCTTGTGTCGCTCCATCCTGGACCTGGGTGGCCTGGACTCGGGGCCGTCTTGCTGTCTCTCCATCCTGGACCTGGGTGGCCTGGACTCGGGGCCGTCTTGACTGTTGCTTCATGCAGCTGGATAAAGTCCCAGAGTTTCAGAACTATTTACTGAGTGTCAAGCCAGAAACTGTGCCTGTTCTTCTTGGCCTCCTTTCCCCCTCCCTCCTCTTTTCACCATGATCATAGGTAACAATGTTTGAATGATTATCTTGTGCCAGGCACTTTATACCTGTTCCTCCATTTAATTTTCACAAGGCTGCCATGAGGTAAGTACTAAAATAATTGTCATTTTTTTCAGATGGGAAAATGGAGGCTCAGGGGAGTTAATGTACTCGGCCAAGATCACCCAGCTAGTCGGTGCCAGAGTCTGAATTCTTTGGAGTCGAATTCTGGTTGCACTCAAAAGTGGTATTTATTTAAAACTCTTACTTATATGTTGATACAAGCAAAATCATAGAAGAAAGGGCAAACCGTGGGCAACCACGTGGTGGATGCCTGTAGTGGCCAGTGCAGTCTGTGACCAAACAGGCTGCCCAGCATGGCTTAGCCACCTGGTCTCCTGATGCCTTTCAGCAGAGTATAGAAAGACAACTTTCCAGATATGTTCCTCTCTCCTAATGCAAGCATATTCTTATCTCAAGAATCTTGCTAGGCGGTTTTTCCTTTCATTATTTAGGCACACCTCTTAACATCTCAAGATCACTAAGATTTCTTGGAAACATTGTGGAGATGGAAACCATGTTCGGCAGTCAGTCCCCTTTCTTGGAACTCCCTCACAGTCCCAGAGCTCTTTAGTTTCTCCCTGTGGAGATTCAACCTGCTCCTAACGTGGGTGACATTCTTTAGCACTTGGTTGTCTCCTGTTGTGAGTGTGATCAACGCTGTTATGGGAGAATGGACTCATAGAGTTGTAAGTGAAGAATGGAGAACAGCTCGTCCTTCCCCAGCAGGTACAATATGAGTAGGCGGAAGAATCGTCCAGTAACTTCCTGACGGGGTCATTTAGAATCTGGGCACAGTGACTTACCCCCCGTGGGAACAGGACGCCCGTTTCCCAGAGAACACATGGTGTGGTGAGCACTGACTGAGCAGGACCATGTTTGTGTCATTTTAGAGCTTAGTGACTTTCTCAGACGTGGCCATAGACTTCTCCCAGGAGGAGTGGGAGTGGCTGAGCCCTGCTCAGAGGAGGCTGTACAGGAAGGTGATGCTGGAGACCTACCAGAGCCTGGTCTTTGTGGGTGAGTACCGTGCTCTTCCACCCCTGCCCAGCAGCTGGGCCTGCCTCTGTCGCCTGTCGCCTTTGCCTCAGTGTCCCTCTTCTTCAGGGCCATTGGCCCAGGGTCCTACTCTCGACTCTCCACAGTGTAGCCGATTTCATGTCTCATATGCAGGTCTCTGCATTTCTAAACCAGATGTGGTCCACTTACTGGAGCAGGAGCAGGAGCCCTGGACGATGCCAGGAGAAGCAGTCAGGGGCCTGTGCCCAGGTGAGTGCTGGGTGGTGAGAGGCTGAGTCTGTCCTCGAGTGTCTTCGCTGGTGTGTGTTGGAAAATCCCCTCACTCCCTCTCAAGTTGACACTTCTAGTGCCGTGTGTGTGTGTGTGTGTGTGTGTGTTTTGCTAGGAATTGAACCCAGGGCCTTGTGCATGCGAGGCGGGCACCCTACCAACTGAGCCACATCCCCAGCCTCTGATCCCTTGTTTTAAGAGCTCTTCTCTTCCCCACTGATGCTCTGTATGCGACAGGGTCTCTTTCCGGACTTGATGATTTCCTAGTTGTGCTCATGTTGTTATACTCACCCCTGCCCTTAAATATTTCTGAATTCTTTGACAAATTCATGTTTTTTTTTAAATTTTTAAAATATTTTCTTTTCTTTAAAAGATGATTTATTATGTTAACATGTATAATAGCTATAGTCTTTCTTCTGCCTGTAATTATTTTTCTCTTTGATGTTTCTTTTATTATTCTTATTTTGTTTATTATGTTTTTTTTTTTTCTTATTTGGCTTCATCCCACGCTACCTCTTGATTGGAAATATTTTTAGTTCTATAAGTTGTTACCTCTTTGTCTATATATTTTTTATCTGTATTTTAAACTTTATCCACCTGAAATTCAGAATATTTCCCTTGGTACTCCTAAGGAAGATGGAGAAATTAGTTCACGAGTGTTAACTCTTTCCATGTGTCCCATCCTTTCCCCCTTGTACTGACTGGCATTTGGGGCTGTTTTCTTCAGAAAAATTTTTATTTCCTCACTTTGTGTCAGAGCGGTTTTTCTGGTTTAGAAACTTAGATAAAAGACACAAAGACATGGGGCTCAGCGGTAGTACACTTGCCTGGCATGTGTGAGGCACTGGGTTCAGTTCTCAGCACTGCGTATAAATAAAGCAAATAAAGGTATGTCAACAACTAAAATATATGTATATATATATGAATGAAGTGGTGTTTGCCCATAACCCCAGCAACTTGGGAGGCTGAGGCAGGAGGCAGGAGGATTGCAATTCCAAACTACCCTCAGCAACTTAGCAAGGCCCTAAGTAACTTAGTGAGACCCTGTCTCAAAATAAAAATAATAAAGGGCTGGGGATGTGGCTCAGTGGTTAAATGCCCCAGGGTTCAATCCCTGGAACAAAAACAAAGAAACAAAAACAAAAGAACTATTGGAGGGGAATGAGCCTCATCTGAGAGAGTCAAAGTTTATTCTGTGGCCTGTTGTGTGACCTCTTCCTGCTTTCAGTTCTCAGAGTTTCAAGAAGAGGATTGTTGGTAAGTCACGTGTGGCCATAACTATGCACATTAATTGACAAGTAATTAAATAAGATCAAGGTAGTAGAACAAGAACAAAGTGAATTTAATGAAAACCAAAATAACTCACATATAGTGACTTCTGCTTCTAAAGATAAAAGTGGGAATAAATGATTATAAAACAGATCTGATGCAAATAAATCAAATATGTGCCTCTTTAGAAAACCAGTAAAATATAAAAATCGTCAGGACAAATGATTGAAAACATAAAACCCCACAAATATATAAGGAAAAAAACAATCATATGCATCTGCTTTCCTCAACCCTCTAATTAATTTGAAAACCTGGATGAAGGAGAATCTAAAGTGGCACAGCTGACACCATGAGAGAGAGCATCTGAACAGACCATTTCTGCCAGCAAAATGCAAGAAATCGTCTGTGGATGCCTCTCCCAAGAAAAGAGGTCGCAGCCTGAAACAGTTTTGTGAGTCTATCTAAGAGACCCTTAAAGAAAATATAACCATCATCTGAAACATTAGTTTACAAAATAAAAAGAAGAGCTTGAAAAATGATTGATGAACACAGCATAATGTTTGATGCCGAAATCTACCAAAAGCACCAGAAAAAGGAAACCACAGACAAATTCCGATTGTGAGTGTTGGTGTGAAATCTTGACTAGAAGGTGCCGCAGTAAGTACCCCGGCCACACAGGGTCTGTCCCGGAGTGCTGGGGTGGCTGTGTCATCTCAGCTGGCTTCACAGACAGCAGACGCAGGTGCTTCCTGTGGGCATCAGGGTTGACTCACATGCTTCCATTTTGAAGGTTTCCATTCTTCTAGCACTGCATAAAGGACACATTTGTTTTCTTACTACCTTTCAGACCTGGAGTGTGTGGGGGTGACCAAGGAATCATCTCCAAACTGGGACATGGAGGAGGAAAAATTATCCCAGGCTGCAGTAATGGAAAGACTGACAAGCCGTGACCCTGAGTGTTGTGCACATTCTGGGGAAGACTGGAAGTGTGGACCCTTGCTGGACAGGGAGCTGGTAGGTCAGGAGACAGTCACTCATGTAGATACCCATGTTGAGAAAAGAGACCGTTCTACCAAATCTGGAACCCATTGTCATCAGAATACAGTGTCTGATATAACACAGATTGTTCCCATGGGGCAGAGAAGGTGTGATTTTGATACAGATAAGAAAACACATTCAGTTCCCCAAAAACCCAAGCAAGTCTATGGAGAAAAGAAACTTTTGAAATGTAACCACTGTGAGAAAATGTTCAGCAAAGTTTCGACCCTTACTCTTCATCAGAGAATTCACACTGGAGAGAGACCCTTCGAGTGTGCCGAGTGTGGGAAGGCCTTCAGCCAGAACGCTCACCTCGCGCAGCACCGGCGGGTCCACACGGGGGAGAGGCCGTTCCGCTGCCCACAGTGCGCCAAGGCCTTCGGCCAGCCCGCACACCTGGCGCAGCACCGGAGGGTGCACATGGGGGAGAGGCCCTTCCAGTGTGTGCAGTGCGGGAAGGCCTTCGGCGACCGCTCCTTGCTGGCCCACCACCGCAGGGTCCACTCTGGGAAGAGGCCCTTCGGGTGCACGGACTGCGGGAAGACCTTCAGGCAGAAGGCCTCCCTGGTGCGGCACCAGCGGTACTACCACAATGGGGAGAAGCCCTTCCACTACGCGAACTGCGGGAAGGCCTTCACGGACCACGCAGGGCTCCTCCAGCACAGGAGGGTCCACACCGGGGAGAGGCCCTACAGGTGCGGCCACTGTGGGAGGGCCTTCAGCCACAGCTCGTCCCTGACCATGCACCAGCGGGTCCACACGGGGGAGAAGCCCTATGCGTGCCAGGACTGCGGGAAGGCCTTCTGCCAGAGCACCCACCTTGCCCACCACCGGAGGGCGCACACGGGCGAGAAGCCGTTCGCGTGCCAGGACTGCAGCAAGGCCTTCAGCCAGAACTCACACCTGGCGCAGCATCGGAAGGTGCACACCGGGGAGAGGCCGTTCGCATGCCGGGCCTGCGGCAAGGCCTTCAGCCAGGTGACACACCTCGTGCAGCACCAGCGGGTGCACACTGGCAGAAGGCCCCACGAGGGTCCTGAGTGTGGGAAGACCTTGGGACAGAGGGCATCCCTGGTCTGTCATGGATGCCGTCACACCGGCCAGCAGCCTTTCGAGTGTGGCATTTGTGGGAAAGCCTTTAGCCATCCTAAGTCCCTGGCTCTGCATCAGAGAGTCCATGCGAGAGAGGCCGCATGAGTGGAAGGACCGCAGCAAGGCCTTCAGCCAGGTGGCCCCTCTAACGCGGCGTCAGAGGACCCACACTGGGGAAAGGCCCTGTGGGAAGGCCTTCAGGCAGAGTGCGCATCCTGCCCACCATCAGCGCGCGCGCTCCGCAGCCGCCTCCCCAACCCTTCCCCGCTCCCTGGCTTGGCCACCAGGACCTCGTGCCTCTAGACTGCGGTTACCCAATTTCATTTGGACTTCTACAGTGTGACACGATTCCAGCTCAATCTTAAAATAAAAATACATGTTCCTGTTTCTTTTCCATTTAAAACACTTTAAAAAACAGGAGGTCACACAGTCCTGACATACAATTGGCACTACATAAATGCTAGTCATTTAGGTAAAAGTTTTCTTACAACTATTTTCAAAAAAGAGAACCATAGGTCAAGGTAAGAAACTTGCGGCTTTAGAGCAGACTGGAACCTCCACTCTCCCCGAGTCATGAGTACTCTCAGAATGAAAGGTTCCCATGCATAAGGTAACACGTGGCTCCCCTCTTCTGTAAGCATGTAAGTGCAGGCAGCAGCCCAGGTGTTCTTTCCTCACCTGCGACTTAGAATAAGCCAGTTAGAACAGAAGCTTCTGGAAACACACTGGACTAGCCAGTGGATAGTGTTAGCAAAACTGAGAAGGAAGCTTCAATAGGTTAGTAGCCATGAAAGAAAACACACACACACACACAGTAGCACAGACAAGTTCTGGAGTATTTTTATGGCTGTAGAAATTGAAATACTATAATAATACCAAGGTGTATGCCTTTAATCCCAGCGGATTAGGATGCTGAGGAAGGAGGATTGCAAGTTTTAGGCCAATCTCAGCAACTTAGTGAGGCCCCAAGAAACTTAGCAAGACCCTGTCTCAAAAACTAAAAAGGGCTGGGGATGTGGCTCAGTGGCTAAGCACCCCTGGGTTCAGTCCCCAGTACCAAGACAACACCAAATCCCCCCTCCAGGGGAAAGAAAAAACCTGCATTAAAATTTCCTATCTTGTTCCTGAGATTGACAAGACATAGCCAAACAGAAATACTGCAATTAATTCTGAATATAGATCTTAAATTTTTAAGATAGTAAAAAGTTTCCAGGTGCAGTGGTGCACAAGTATAATAATCCCAGTGGCTTGGGACACTGAGGCAGGAGGATCTCAAGATTGAGATCCTCAAAAGGGTGGGGATGTAGCTCAATGGTAAAGCTCCTCTGGGCTCACTCTCCAGTATCACCAAAAAAAAAAAAAAAAAAAAAAGTTGGGAAGGCTAGTCATGCTTCTATATAGAAATACTCAGGTAAAGCTATTTCTCCTCCAGTTAAATATGTAGATTCATTGGTATTACAATATAAATCCCAACATTTTTTAAGGTGTCATTCTTGAGTCCAACAAATCTGCGTAGATTTGTGGTTATAGAGAGGAATGTAGTTTGGGTTAGAAATTAGCCATCATTCAGTTGATGTTAACTGAGCACTTACTAATGTGCCAGGCACAGTTTTAGGTAGTGGAGATGTTCTGGGGTAGGAGATAGACAAAAACTGTACCTCACAGACTGGTGGGAGAGAACAAAAGCTTAAATACTATTTGACAAACACAAGTGCCACAGAGAGCTACCATCTAAGGAAGGCGCTAGGGAGTGCTGGGTGTGGGTGCCTGCTCCTCAGACACAGGGGCTGTGGAGTGAGAGGTGTCAGGGTCCCTCGTGTTGAAGGGAGAACTGGGACACAGTGATGGAGAGGCTGTGGGGGAATTTCCTCTTGGTAGTAGCCCTGTTGAGAAATTATTCACATGCCATGCAATTTTGGATAAGACCTCCGTGCCGCCATCAGCAGAAGTAAAGAGGAAGCCTCCAGGCATCACTGAAACTAACAATGCGTGGCTCTCAGTGTATTAAGAGTTGTGTCACTGTCACCACAATTTTAGAATCTTGTCACTCCCAAGTGAAGTCCTGTGCGCTCTAGCAGTTAACCTATCCCTGTAGGGGTATTTTTTTCTGGAGCCCCAAAGCTCTTGGGTCTTCTCTTGGATGCTGTGAAGGAAGCTCTTAACCAGAGCACCTGGCTGCTAGAGAAATGGAGATTTCCAGCGCTCTCTTCCTCCTCCTTTTTTTTTTTTTTCCCCCTGTCTTTATTTAGTGCTTGGGACTGAACCCAGGGATGCTCTACCACTGAGCCACATCCCCAGCCCCTTTTTAATGTTTTGAGACAGGGCCTCACAGTTGCTTAGTGCCTCCCTGAGCTGCTGAGGCTGGCCCTTGTACTTGGGATCCTCCTGCCAATCTCCTGAGCTGCTGGGGTGACAGGTGTGTGCCACTGTTCCTGGCTCAAGCTCCTCTTCACATCTGATCCAGGGGACAGGCTACAGGATGAGCAGCCTCATGCAGAGCATATATAGCCTTCAGATTTCCTGTGGATATGAAAAATGATTGTTCATTGCAGTGTAGAAGAGATGGATTGATTAAATGGTATTGGTACCCTAGCTCACTGGAAAAACTTGACCTGTACTTTGTACACTAATGGAAACCTAAAAGATTAAGGTTTTGAGTGTAATATGTCAAGTACAAGAAAGATGTAGAATAATATTTCTATACCCTTGGTTTGAGTCAGATCTTAAGCATTACACATAACCCAGAAGCTGACATTAGGCTGTACAAAATTTAGGAGGTGAGAGAACTAATGTTTGCCATGTATGTAACAAAGGGTCATTCCCTGACTCAAAGCACCGGTACAAATTGGTAATGGCAACATCTGCAACTTAGGACCATGAGAAGCTAATTCAAGTAATGTATGTGCTTTCCCCCAACAGACCAATTTTAAATAATAGAAGAATGATAATTCCGGGATAGGTGAGTGCATGGGAAGTAGGAAGTCCACTGTTCGTTATGCGTACATACTACTCGAATCCGTATTTCTCAGAAACAAAAGTGTACAAGCAGAGGAAAACATACAATGGCCAAAAAATCAATGGTAAACTATTAGAACACCTGAGTGCCCATCACTTAGAGTATGAAATTTCATGGTGTATTCATTCAGTAGAATCTGTGCAGCTGTTGGGAAAATAGATGTAAATGCACATATAGACATGAAAGAGAGCTACGTGAAAACGACATGGAGGGGACATTGCGCGGTACAGTACAAACTCGGCATCGGAAACACGATGCGGCTCTGAAGGCGCCTTCTCCATGCAGTGTCCCTGGCCTCCGTCGGCATCTTTTCAGCTGAGTAACTGGCCATGCTCTACCGCGTGGTTCCCAAGGACCTGGCCAATCACATTCTTGCTGGAGTTGGAAAGGCAGTTGGCACTGCTCTCTCCTTTTCAATCTTTGGTACTGGGAATTTTGAATCCAGGGGTGCTGCACCACTGAGCGGCGCTTTCTTTTATTTGGGGGCAGTGCCTAAGTTGCTGAGGCCGGCCTGGAATTTGAGATCCTCTGGCCTCAGCCTCCTGAGGTGTCACCGTACGTGGCTCTCTTTTGGTATCTCAGGAAGGCAAAACTGCACCAAGTTGATTAAAGAGCTGATCTGTTTTCATTTTCTATTTGAGAATGGGGCAGCGTCGTGGAGAGCTGAGGCGAGGAGTGGGTCGGGCTTACACGAGGAAAGGGCGGGGACAGCAGACCCCAGTGGGCCAGGGGTCCGGTCACTTTCTCCGTGAAGGGCAAAGCTCAGGGCACGTCCCAGGACTGCCAGCCCGGCCTGTGTCTGCACCTGGCCCTCCCGCTCGCTCCTGGCGTCCGGGGAGCGCGGACGGCCCGGCCCGGCCCCGGCGGCGGCCTCCGGGAGAGGTCTGCAGCAGCTGGGCTCCGGGCTCCTCTGCTCCTCGGTGGTTCACACCGGTCCTATCAAGAAGCCGTCCTCCAGCCCAGCCCGCCGGCACCGCAGCCGGCCCGCCCTCCTTCCCCAGCTCCCTCCCGCCGGCCCTGCCCCCCCCATTCCTGCCCCTCACGTCCCGGTCCCTGCGCCCACCGCGCCCCGCCCGCTTGTCACGGGACCGCGGAGGCCTCTGGGAGACGGGGGAGCGCCCTGCGGCCTCGGCTCCGCTCCGGTTCGCCTGGCCGCGCGCGGGCTTCTGGGAGGTGTAGTCCGGCCTTGTCCGCGCAGGCGCACCGCGGCCTGGAGGGCCTAGCGGGTGGGTCATTGTCCTGGCACGTTTCGCAGGTGAGTCCACCCTCTACGCGGCCGAAGCGATCCGGCCCCGGAGGGGACAGACATGCAGGGAGAGGGACGAGTATGCAGGAGAGGGCGTGCACCCGGGGACAGGGACGAGTATGCAGGAGAGGGCATGCACCGGGGGAGAGGGACGAGTATGCAGGAGAGGGCGTGCATGCGGGGAGAGGGACGAATATTCACGAGAGGGCGTGCACACGGCGAGGAGCTGCTTGCGGGGAGAGGGCGTGCACGCGGCGAGGGGGCGTGTACATGGCCAGCGGCTACTTGCGGCGAGGGGGCGTGCACGCGGCCGGGGGCGGGTGTAGGGACTAGGGAGGGAGTAGAAACAGGTGAGAGCGTGTTTGTTCAAGGTTCTGCAGTGTCTCAGTGCAGGCCTGCTTAGGGGACTGGGTGGCTCTGCCTTTGTGTGTGCGCCAAGGTCCTTCTTACACAGACACTTCATCAGAGTCCTCTCTGTGTGAGGACGTTTCCGCTGGTACCCTGGGCCCGAGTCTCTGGTGTGATCTCTGTCCATGGTGTCTCTGCGCTGCCCTCTGGGTGTCCACCTGTGTCTAACTTTTCCTTCTGTGTCTGGGGGAGCGGGAGTGTCGCCTGAGTGTTTCTGGGTGTGAGTGCCTGTCTGGGTGGGTGCACACGGACAGGTGCGTGT